TCGGGGACTCAGCAGCCCCTGTCGTTCCTAGCGGCTGCACGAGCGCGCTCGGCATGCTCTTGGGGCGGCCTCCGCGGAAATCTTGATTGCTGCTGCTGCTCTAATTCGGGCAATTTGTCTTCTCGCTTACTAGCCCGCCTGTGGAAGCTCTTGACCTTCGTGGTTGCTCTTCCTGGAGTTGGTGTCTGCATGCTGAACTGCTACTTAAAAGGACAGCACGAGCATGAAAGACCCGAGTTTATTCCTTATGCTCACCTCCGGATCAGGACCAAGGTATGTTCCAGTGCTCTGTTCAAAGACCTTCTTATTTCCTGTGACTGCAGAGCTTCATCTGAGGTTACTACAGCTTCTGTGGCTTTCTTACCTACAAAGTGAGGTGCTGCATACATAGGCATGATTTTAACTTTGTTTCTGAGACAGCAACGGAGGGTCTCACAGCTGAGCTGAAGTACCCATCGCCTTTGCAGGTCTAGAACTAGCCTTTTGCTTCCCCAGAGTAATCCTGCTGGGGCGTCACTGAAAACGCTTCAGCCACAGAGCTGCTTTAGTTACCTTACACAAATACAGAGGCTAATAGAGCTGATCCTATGATCCCAGATTCCCAAAACAAGGGTCCTGACAGTATTGATCTTTGATGTCCTGGCAATGACCTTATTGTCTAGAGACAGCTGTCACCAGCTAACGGAGACTGTTTTCCACCTTGCTCTTTGTACAACCTGGAAAGCAGATGTTAGCTTGCTTATTTCACCAGCCTTTCAAGCTGGGAGATGTTTGAGTCTATTTCCTGCTGCAAGAGTTAATCTCCTGTGCTGTAGTAGAGCCTTCCATTAGCTGCCAATGGCGTATTTTCTTTCTTCTTTCAACAGCCTTTCCCCTGGGGTGATGGGAACAAAAGTCTATTCCACAATCCCCATGTTAATGCTCTCCCAACTGGTTATGAAGACGAAAACTAAGATCTTGACCATAGCCACAACTTTGGCTCCTTCTGCATTTGGACCAGAATGTTGTATGGGAACCATCGTTTAAGAAACTCTGCATTCCTTCTACTATCAAGTCGAATGGTGTCGCGACCTCTGTTATGTGCTTGCGTAGAGGTCCTTTAAATAAAAACTCCTAACTTGAATTCAGGATCTGACTTTTTTTTGTTAGTCTGTGAATCCTTAGAAGTTTATTCTGCTTAAAACGGTGACACTCCCCCACAAGCAATAGCGCAGTAGCAAAGGGCTTTGAATGACTGAGTGTTACACCTGCTGCTGTACCTGATAATACTGATGTTAGCAATCAATATGTTTGTCATGAGTATGAAAGCAAATAATGCATGATGCCTGGTCTACCTGATCACTGTAAACACATAGCTCACATTAAAATGAACAGTTTTTAGGCTAACACTCTAGATTAAAATTCAGTGTATACTGAAGCAAATTCTGTGTAATCAACTACAGCAATAAAAAAAATGTTATTAACACAGTCATCAAGGCAACTGTCTCTCACCCAGCGTGTTCTGAGACAGGAGGCGGCGGCAGTCAAAGGTGTGTAATTAAGCTCTGTGCAATTTCACAGTATTAATCTCTAGCTCTGGAGTTTCCTCGTATGCTATAAGCAGTGCACATAAGTTACTCACAGCTTTACAAAGAGCATAGTTGTGGTTTAATTGTACAAAAGTCTCTCTTACAGCCTTTGCAAATGAAAACACACTTTTTGCTCCACTGCATCTTTGTAATATGCACTGTGTCACTGAGAAGCAACTCGGCTCTGCAGGTTAAAGTTTAACGTTTCAAGGAGAGACTATAACTTTATTTTCCAAAGTCAGTAGCCAAGTCTAAAGCTCTCTGCCTGTCCCAATACAGCATTAATTTTGAAGAGTTTCCTCTCAACAAGTCAACTGTTTTCCTATTCCCTCTGCAACTTCCATATTCTTTTGCATGGCAGAACGCAGAGAGAACTTATGTCTTAGCTGTAATTATTATCATAATTTTTCCCCAAGGAAGACTACCACAGCTGACTTGGCATCCTGCTGCTGAAAGGAGTGATGGAGAGTAAATGAGCTAAATGTAAGAAGCTCTAAAGTGGGCACCGCAGGACACCTTTTCCCATGTTTCAGTATAATTTATTTCATCTACGTAGCTCAACAGAACACTACAGTAGGATGACTTTAAAATTCCTCTGTATTAAAAGCACAGAACAAGGCACTAATGGGCTTAGTTTTTTGTAAAGTTAACTGCCCAAATAACAGTACATTTATTCCTGTATGAAAACGATTATGGAAAAGTGAAGTGGTTGTATAGGTTACTCCTTTAAAAAAAAGTTTCACACTTGACAGTCCCCAAAACGCTATTTAGAATAGAATATAGAATAAAATAGAATATTATTCTAATAGAATAGAATGTTCCCCTAGCATATTTCCCATAAGAGAAAGCTAATTTTATTTATACCTGAGTGACCTAGCAATTTTTAAGTGTCACAGAACAAGCTGTTAAGTGCTTCATATAATCACTGTACAGCCTATTGAGCTACCTGCCTAACGCACCTGAGAAGGGAGTGTGCTGAAACCAGACTATAGAGCAGACAGCACGCAACAGCTGCTGTGTTTAGGCCATCGCTAAAGGCACAGGGAACGAAGGCCCCACTATGCTGCAGTTTCTGATATGCAGCACAAATCCTAAGCTAATTTTAAGCATGTGAAATCGTTACTTAGGACCTGCAGCGCAGACAAGCCAGCTACTGTGTTTGAGAACTGCAAATGAATTATTTTGTGTGATTTTTTTTTGTTTGTTTTAAAGTAAAGGCTTTGAACCATGTCTCAGGTAGTCCTTAAAAAGCTAAGAATGAAGCTCATCTTTTTTCCAACAGAATTACAAAGCTGACTTCTCTCTTTTATTCCCAGCTCAGAATGATTTTTTTTAACTCCCTCACCTGTACTGGTGTTCTAGGAGAGGACAGCTTTAGCCCGTCCCTATATGAGGATCAGTGGAGATCTCCCCTGCCACAAGGCTCTGAGGGCTCCTGGATGAGACAGGGTGGGTCCCGGTCTGGATCCCTCACCCCTCTTCCGAACACCTTCATTTTCCTAGTACCTGCAAGGAGGAGCGAAGCTCTGTCATTGAATGTCTCGGGACAGAGGAATTAGAAAACGGATTTGGAGAGAAGAAAAGGCTAGTTCCTGATGACTTCTTCACAACCACGTAAGGAAACACCTGTCATCAGGAACCTTCCATTCTTTCCAGAGAGAAGCCTCCTCAGCCCTTCTACTGCCATTCAAAGGCAGACAATTTCAGGCAACTGTTTTAGGAAAACCAAAAACCAGTGTCATTGTCGTGTTACACAAAGGAGTTAATGTACCTACACCACGTTCAGCTGGGATATCTGATGAGTTAGCCGGCCATCTCACCCTTTCACAGTCACTGCCACTACAGAATTAATAACTTAATCTGTTTCTGTAGTTTACGAGACAGCATATTGAGACAAAGAGGTAACAATTTTAATTTGCTTTACTAGGTGCGAACTACACGTGGTTCGGGAGCAGCTTTGCGAGCAGGTGAGGCGGCCCCAAGAGGCAGGACAGGCAGCTGGGGCTTTAACCATATCAGCTGCCAAGCTTCAATCCAATGTTGCCCTCATTCAATACACGCTTCCAGCTACCCCGAGCAAAAGTGTAACAATGATCATGGCCAACCCGGGGCTTGGTGGGAGAGCGTGTAGAACGACGGCCAGGTCTGCGCTGCAGTTTTCCTGCAGGGACAGACAACATGAAAGGAAAGAAAATTCAAGTTGCAGATTGTTTCAGTACCTCGGAAAAGGCTGGGGAGTACCCTCCACAATCAAAGGCTCCTCTTCAGCAGGCTCTCTCTGCTGAAGATATCTCTATCTCTTTGAGGTCATACTCAGATTCTACTGGACAGCTATCTACTAGAACAAAATATAGCCTGGTTATCAATATTTATTTTAGCTAGGATATTGCACACGGAGCATAAGTGCTTTTATAACATCTCTGGCATCGATACAAAGCAACGTGGTAGCCCCTCAGCATCCAGGATCATATCAACCAAGCCCCTTTCTCCACAAGTCAGCAGCACAGAGATGAGACAAAGTAAACCAATCGCCTTCATGCTCTTTTTAAATGTTCTGACGTGTTATATAAATAAGCAAGAGAAATCGGTTACAGATCAGTAACTCAACCCATCCTAACAGGCATTCTCCCATTACAGAGTACATTCACATAGGAAGTTAGTTAAAAAGGCTTTTCACAGTTAGATGCTGAGTCACCACCAACATTCATCGAAAAGGGGGCAGTAATTACCACGTGATCCGGGGTGGTGGTGGTGGTGTTTTTACAAGCAGAGCAGAGTACTTGCTTCCTAAAAGGCTACACAGAGAAAGCAGCTTAACAAAGGCCTTTTCCAGGTGGCATCTAGTCTTTTTGTGTGGTTAGGTTCCTTAGTCCAAAGGCTCATGTTAGTGACTCCACGGGAAGAGCTGAAGTCAAGAGGAGTTCTCCGTTTTCCCTTTGCTTGGGCCCATGAATTCCAGGCCTTCAATGGGTATGTCCTTCTCCTTGATTGCTTTCTGGGGAGAAGAAAAACAAACACGCACCTTTACCGCGCTAAATGATGTGTTGCCTGGGACAAAGCAAGACCTAAGGATTAGTAGGCTGGGACGGCTCGGGACAAAGCTGTAATACTAAAGGTGCTCGAAGAGGCGCGGGGAAGCAGCGCTGGGCTGCGATCTCGAGCCCGCCGCAGGAAGGGGCGGCGAGCGCCGCGCTCACCGGCGCGGAAGAGCCCCGCCAGGG